CGGGAAAAGTCGAGTCGGCAGACATCGGCAGGCCAGTATGCCTCCGATAATAAATCGGAACCCACATCGGAATCCCAAGTCGAATCGGATCGGAATCGGAAGCGATCGAAATCGGATCGAATCGACTCCCCCCGGAGCTCCCGACGCCAGGAGTTCTCGCCCGGTTTCGGCCCCCAGGCCCACCACATGAGGATCGGGCTCGAGAGGTGCAGTATGGAACAGCGGGGTCGATGGGCTCCGGTGGCGATGCTTTGCATTCCTGGCGCTGCAACTGTTCCATGCCCCGATACGCAACACGCAGCACATGGCGTATTGATACGGAGCTCAACACGCAGACCGAAACCGTAGACATGACGCGACACGTCCGCCAAAACGTGGGCCACTACGCTGAGCCAACACGCAACGTATTGACTCGGACTCTTTGAACATGGCACGCGTTGCGTCTCACAACGGGCGTACCGAGGCAGCCGAGATCACAGGGGATTTCTATTTGGCCTCGGGCCCCTGAGGCCGACCCAAATCAAAGCCCGGACAATGCAACAGAAAGCTGGGGTCTGCAGAGTGCGGGCGCGGCCGCAAGAAACCCAACCCTGAAAACCCGCGCGCGAGGTGCACCAGAGGGGAAGCCCGGAGCACCCTGAACGCAGCAGCTTCTTCCACGGCCGCGGGAAGTCACCGCGCGGCGCGCGGAGCGAAGAAACCCAGGGCACCCTGGCGAGAAGCAGATGGTTTCTTGATGCGCGCCCCCACTGCAGAGCTGTGGGCGTGATTCTGCTCGACGTCGTGCGCGACGTCGGCTCTTGGGTAGGGCCGGGCAGGACCGGCGCCGTTGCCGCCCGCGCGACGCGAGGGAGGGGGGGGGGCGGAAGGCGGGCCGCCGGGGTGGTCCATCTCTCCCAAGCAGAACCAGCGTGGTCCAGCATGGCCCAACGAGACCGTCCTCTGCCTGAGGGCGCGGCCTCGTGTCGGGGAGCTGCTGACCCGGGTCGATCCAGGCCCGGGTCAGCCAGGCCTTGCAGAATGCTGCAAGATCCTGCCAGACCCTGCACCCAAACCCGGGTCAATGCGAAGGATCCTGCAAGATCCCGCGGGATCCTGCACCCAACCCGGGTCAGTGGGGGCCTGGCCCTGCAGGATCTTGCAAGATCTGGCGCTCTGGCTGACCCCCGTTTGCATTGACCCCCGTCTCAAGGCTCCCGATCATGAGGTGCACGTTCTGCTCCGGCCACTCAAACACTACTCCGGAAACCGATGTGGCACAGGGGTATCGCGGGGAACAGAGAGAGAGAGAGAGGAGGGGAAGGGAGGACAAAGACTGCCAGGCTTAGGTTGGGCCTGTCCCCTACAGGGGGATCTTGGGCGAAAAGTGAAACACACACCCAAGATGATCCCCAAAAATGCCCCAAACGAATCGAATGAACGTCCCCAGGCTACTTTTTGTCTAGTTTTGAATCTCCCTCCTGTAGCGGGACAGGCCCGACTGAATGCCAGGCTTCATGTTGCTCCCATAGTACTTAAGGACCACATCCCAGGAAAAAACTTGGAGCACCCAGACAAGTGCCGAAAGAGTGTCGAAACAGTGTCGCAGCAGTGTCGGACGAATGTCTCCCAAGGCACGGCACGCGAGAACCCCCCGATTCCTGTACTTCCCTGGCGCTCGAAATTCTCCCTGGTGATCGAGCGCCAGGGAAGTACAAGAATCGGAGGGTTCTCGCGTGCCGGGCCCTGGGAGACACTCGTCCGACACTGTTGCGACACTGATTCGACACTCTTTCGATCCTTTTCCGGGTGCCCCAAATTATTCCTGGGATGTGGTCCTTAAGTGCGATAGGAGCATCACAGGCCAGGCGATGTCCACACGGCCGGGAAGGCCACCGAGCCTCCGCCCGTCGCCGGCGTGTCCCCCTACAGGGGGATTCTCGATGATTTTTTTTCCAAAATGCAAGAAAAAATACTCCAGGATGGTCAAAAATAATCAAAACAGAATCTCCAGACTGGTTTTTTACTATTTTTTGAATTTTCCCCCTGTAGAGGGACACGCCCGACGCAAGGCGATGTCCACACGGCCGGGAAGGTCACCGAGCCTCCGCCCCCCGCCGGCAAGGCCCGGCCCGCCGGCCACGCCGCGTGCCCCGTGGCAGGGCCCCCCTTCGCCAGACCGAGCCCGCGCCCCGCCCCCGCAGGCGGCCACCGCTGGGAGGCCCTCGTCTTAGGTCGAGCGGGTCCTTTGTGGGCCCGGAAACGGCAGGGCCGTTTTTTCACCGTTTCCAAAAAAATGTCCCGTGAAAGAGGAAACGGCAACAAAAACGGCGACCGGAGACGGCAACAAAAACGGCTCCAGGATTGGAACCGGAGCCAGAACTGGTCAAAAAACGGCGACGGAACCGGTAACAAAAACGGCGTCGGAACCGGCAACAAAAACGGCAAAACGGAACTGGTAAAAAAACGGCCGTCGATTCCAGGGCCCACTAAGAGCGGGTCCCCCTTCCGTCGGGAGCGGCCAAGAGGGGGACGTCCAAGAGGGGGGGGTGCAGATCATGACCGGCGGCGTGTGCGCGGCCCAGCGGGGGGGCCAGGGCCGTACCGAAGAAAGAAGAGGCGCCATGGAATCTGGGAAACATCATGGCCCCCGCCATGATATCCACCCCCCCCCCAGTCATCACCCCCCACTTTGCCGCCCCTGATACAGGGGGATCAGACAGAAAAATTCAAAAATAGTAAAAAAAAAAAAAGTAATCCAAAAATGCCAAAAGGTAATCAACAAATCGTCCCCCGATGATGTGTTGTACTATGTTCGAATACCCCCCTTGTAGAGGGACAGGCCCGACTTCATGCTGGGAGGCCCTCGTCGGAAGAACTAAAGAGGATTGAGAAGCTCCATTGGGGTGCTGTTGCGCCAGAGTCGGCCGCGGATTCAGCGGGATCCAGCCAGATTCAGCGGGATGGAGCCGGATGTCGGACCAGGGCAAAACTTACGTCGGGCCTTTCTCTATACAGGAGGAATGTCCAAACATAGTCCAAAAATGATATGGGGCCGATGTTTGAAAGTCTTGTTTCGCTATGAATATGTTTGACTATGTTTGATCTTTCCTCCAAAAGCCGCCTGTAGGGGAACATGCCCGACCCGAGGCAAAACTTATGTTGTTCCCATCCGAATTAAGGACCACATTCCAGAAATAACTTCGAGCACCCGAAAAAATGTCAAAAGAGTGCCGAAACAGTGTCGAAACAGTGTCGGGCGAGTGTCTCCCAGGCCCGACGCGTGAAAACCCTTGAGTTTCGGCACTTTTTTTAGCCGCCTCGAACGAATCCCTATCCCTAAGATTGACACGCCAAAAGGCGATGACAATCTTAGGGATTCGCCCTCAAAAGATAAGGGAATCCCTATGGTTGGCATCGTGATGAGGAGGTGCCCAGCATGGGGATAGGGATATGTTCCAGGCTGGTATTTTTCTTCGGCGCTCGAAACTCTTTCTGGCGATCAAGGCGAAAGTAGGCTGGAGCATCATGAGGCAAAAACCAGACGGTGACCTCCCAGGGGTTGCACTCGAGCCCGCCCTGCCCGTGCCGGGCGGGCCTGCCCCGGCACGGCGGGCGGAGAGCGCGCCCTGCCGCCGCCTGCCCCCGCGCGCGCCGCGCGGCAGGCTGCAGGCGCACGGGAGCCGGAGCGTCTGCCGTGCTCCCGCTGCTTCCCCCCGTGCTGCCGGGAGGCGGAGCTGGGCGAGCGCAGCGGCCTCCGCGCCGCCTCTGTGGGCGTTGTTGCCGCGTCCTCCTCTCGCTGAACCTAGTTGGGCGCCCGAGTTATCCGGGGTAACTCGGGTCCGGGGTAGCTCGGGTTCGGATTCCCGAAAAAGGAACCCGAGTTAGCCCTGACCCGAGTTACCCCTGATGCTGTGGGGCTCTGGGCGCCCGAGTTATCCGGGGTAACTCGGGCCCGGGGTAACTCGGGTTCGGATTCCCGAAAAACGAACCCGAGTTAGCCCTAGGACTGCTCTCTCGTGATTAGCGCCCAGCTGGCGCGCACTCCGACCGATCGCTGCCCTGCCCTGGAAGCGTGACGTGCGCGGAGGCACGGCGGTCCGACTCGGGCGCAGTTCGGCGCGCTGGCTTGCTGAGCTGCAGCGGGGGCCGGTCCACGAGGAGCCTTCCACAAGAATTGGGTCGGGCATGGCCCCCCTACAGGCGAATTCTGGACGAGAAAGAAGATCGTCGCAAATAGCAAAACAAACTCAAATAATCGTCCCCAGAATATGTTTGGACTATTCTAACATAGGACGCCGATTGGATTTTGGTGTGGGGACGTCACGCTGCGCTCTGCAAAACCATCGAAACCCAAGAAGCCCAGGGCACCCTGGAGGCGAGCCGGGTGTTCCTTGGCATGGGTCCCCACTGTACCGTTGCTCCCCTGCCCCGACCCCCACCAGTCCCTCGCCCCCCGATGATGGAAGCTGCAAGCTGCCCCACCAATGGGGAGGGGAGGACTCGGCCATGGCAGGGCAGGCCGACGAGGCGGAGCACCTCCGGGAGGCGCGAAGCTTATAGAGACACCCCACGTGGACAGCCCGTCGCGCCCCGCCCCCCCCCGTCGGATACACCACGCTGCCGCAGAAACCGCCAACGTCCGATCGAGTGAGGGATCGACCCCAGACCCCCAAACATGACGGCATGTTTTTCGTCATGTTCGGCATCTGGGGACGCTTACCGGGCCTAGGTACCGTCAAACAACGACTCGGGACGAAAAACAGATCCTGGGGAATGGGTCAAGACCTCTGCGGGTCGACGTGATGAAAGAATCATGACGTTGGGGGTCTTGGACAACGGAATTGAGTCACCCCACAATTGATTTTCTCGTCAAGCCCTACCTCGAATGCTGGTAGATCTACGACCATTCTGCGCGTCTCTCCCGGACTCGACGGACAAATCAATCTTGGGGTGCATCAATTCTGCATCCGATCCCCCACTCGAAACTTGTTTTGCACGGGCAGGACGCGGGGCGGGTCCTCCACCGCGGATTGGACACAGGCGATCAGGCCGTCGAGGCGATCCTGGTGCCAGCGGCCAGCGGGCGACTCCGAGGCAGAGGGAGAGAGAGGAGAGGCGGGACTGGGCCCCGGCCGGCCGGCCTGCCTTCGCACGGGCGCCCGTGCCCCGGGCAGCCGTCGGTCTCGCGCGTGCCTTCCTCTGCTGGCCGATCCAGGACGCTCCTCGAATTTAGAGAGAGCAACAATCGGGGATGGACAGACCTCACTTTAGTAAAACGTGGTTCAGCGAAAACGACCTGAGGCCCAAACCTGGCGGGCGCAAGCCTGGAAGATAACCGCCGCGGCGCCCTCTCGAGAACCGAAAACGGACAATTCACGAATCGACGTGTCACTATTGGGGGTTCTGTCCGCCCCCGAAACAGCGGCAGAAACATCAACTCTCGGCGCTCCCCGGGCGGACAGCCTGCATCTGGCCTGGACCCCCCAAAGGGGCGGCGGGTGGGGGCCGCCGCCGCGGGGGCCCCGCGCAGGTCCAAGAAATCCGCGCGGAGCGCCAAAAGTTTATGTTTACAGTCGGGGCGTTGACCTAAGGAACCCTAAATCCGCCGATCCGGCGTGTGAGTTTCAAGGAGTCTCAGCTACAGCCTCGAGGCTGAGCCTCAGCCTCTGGGGGGGTTGCCGGGGTGGCTGTGCCGGGGAAGGGGGGGTGGGGTGGGGGGGGGGGTGCGAGTTTCCGGCGGATGCGTTTTTTGACACCCCTCACAAGGATCGTGGCCTCCGAGGGGGTTCCGAACTCGAGTACCACCCCTCCCGCACCAAGAGGCTCCGAGGAGGCCTCCAAGAGGCCCCAAGGGGCGCAGAAGAGGCCCCCAAGAAGCCCCAAGAGGCTCCCAAGAGACCCCCAAGAGGCCCTCTAGTGGCCCCAAGAGGCCCAAGAGGCCCCCAAGAAGCCCCAAGAGGCGCCCAAGAGGCCCCCAGAAGTCCCAGCCAACCACGAGATCCCAACCAGCATCCATGAGGCCTCTGACCCACCACCCACGCACGGTGGCGGGATAGGCCGACGGCCACTGGATAAATGCTGAGTGAGAGGAGGGACGAGGGCGAAGAAGGATCACATCAGTCGGAGCGTCCCAGATCGGCGGCACTGGCCGAAGGCCACTACAATAAGGAACGAGGCCCCTTTTTTCCATAAGTTAAACTTCGATTTCCGATCGAAAACATAAGGAAAACCTGAGGCAAGCTGTGAAACACTTACGGAACGCGGAGCCCCTCCCCAACCAAACAGGTTCCTTCTTCAGGGCCCCGACTGTATGTGTTTTTGTTTCTCCTTTGATTTTCTTTGCTGGATGGTCCAGGATGCTCCCCGATGGTCCTCGCCGAGCGAGAAGATGCACACACGCCGGAGCGAAGCCAAGAGGAAGGGAGGCCGAGGGGCGGGACGGGGGAGGCCAGAAGGAGTCACGAGCGGCGAACGCATCCACACCCGCGCACTCGCGGTCTGGACGACGGGGAGCGCCATCCCGAGGATGCACGGTCGCACGGATGCGTTCCGCGCGGGGCATCCGCGGAACAACGCCCTGTATCCTCTGGGTCGCGGTCCAAGGGCCCGGCCCGCGAGGCCGCAGATACGGGCACGCCTTTGGCAGGCCATCTGCCGGCGAAGGCGACCCGTGGCCAGAGCTTGCCGGCGCAGGCCCGCTGAATTCAGGCCGCAACGCCCTCTCGAGGACCCGCGAAAGGCCATCCCGTGCGCAATCGATTTGGCAGTGTAAGGGTTCTATCAACCTCTACTGGTCCCGTGCATCCCGAAGCGCCATCTGAATGTTACCCCCCCGTCCCCGCCCGAACAAATAGACCAGACGACCGAAATACAGCGAAGTTGGGTGGACTGAAATCAACTGGACTGGACTGGGGTGGGCTCTATTCCACTCGGCTCATCTCTACCATTGTCGTTTCTACCAGACTCGACACAAGTGTCTACCCTACTCTACTCCGGCATACTCTATACTACGCTGCTTTGCCCTACCTTAATCGTATCTGCTCTACTTTGAAGCATACATGATAAATACTGCTCTACGATACGATACTCATGCTCTACCATACGCCAATGCTACCCTCATATATTATGGATATTGCCATACCCTCCTCTACCCTGCTCAAATATCACAGACGACACTGTGGTATGATGTGTTCGACGTTGAGCTATTCGAAAACATTTGTATATAACATGCGACATGTGAACGAAAGAGTTTGTAACAGACTTTACTCTATACTCTACTATCATCTGAAGTGCTCATCTAGTATTGTGAAGTGCTCCACGCTACTCTACCCTACCCTACTCTACTCTACTGTCTGATCGATCGATCCTTACTTTTTTATGATTAAGCACCCCGAAACTTCCACCTCGCCGGCAGATATCAGCCCCGCCGTTCCAACTGTGAAAAAATGGGAACTCATGGTTTCCCCGCCAACATGTCGCCGAGTTGCGAAAAGTGCAGCAGGCATGGGACGGAACGGACATGGCTTGGGTAACCCTAAACGGGTGGTCGGTCCTCCCGATGGAAAAAACAATCCCGTCAACATAAATTTGCTTGTCGTCGACGCTGCGAACAAGAAAAAGCAAGAATGGGACGGAAAGGACATCGCTGGGGTAACCCTAAGCGGGCGGTCGCGTCTTAACAAACAACAAAAAAACTTTTTTTTCCCCGACAACATTGACTTTCTTGTCGTCGACGCTGCGACAAGTCCAGCAGGAATGGGACGGAATGAACATCGCGCGCGGACGCCTGGCCAACCCTAAGCGGGACCCCCCGTCATCCCTGCCAAAAAAACACCACGACGTCGACGTTTCCTTGCCAACATATACTTTCTCTATGTCCGCGCTGCGAATCGCGTAGCGGGAATGGGGCGCCCCGCGAATTCCCAAGAGGCATCCTCGTCTTCCTCCTCAGTTTCTCCTTCCCTCCCCTCCTCCCTCCCCTCCTCCTCCTCCTCCTCCTCCCCTTCTTCCATGCGCGGCAGGAGCGAAACTATTGGCGGTGCAACGCGCGCGGCTGGAATGAGACGCGGCCGACTTCGCGCGCTGGACATGTTGTCGCCGACGATGCAGCATGAGAGGCCGGAGCGGGGCGCGGCGTACATCGCGCGCGGTTTTGTTTCTCGTCGACGTTGCTCCACACGCGGCAGGGATAGGACGCAGCTCATGTCGCGCGCTGAACGTTTCGCCCCCCACGGTAGAAGGTGAACGACAGGGGGAGGGAGGGGGGGATGAAGTGGACGGAGCCCTCTGGCTCGTTCGAGCAGGCAATTTGACCCTACCCTACCCTACGCTACCCTACTCTACTCTATTATGTTTTGTTCTACCCTAGCCCTATGTCTTATTGGTGTCTACTCCCACTCTGCCACCCAGATGGCCGAAACCGCACCAATGCGGATTACCGGGTGGTCCCTCCTACATGCCACACGCATAATACAACATATTACTCTGCCGTCTCAACATGGACACTGTGTCGCCCGCGTCGCAAAACCCGTGGCAAGACTTGGACGGGGGGCGCATCCCGCGCGCCAGGCCGACCTGTCGCTCTCGCGTCGGCGCCGTTCCTACTGTTCTAAAGACTTGAATTCCCGGGCGCGGCGCATTTGGTTCACGCGCATGTCCGTCGACGCGAGCGCGGACGAAACTGTCGTTTTCGCTTCGGCGCCGTGAAAATTCCGCCTGAAAGTGACGCTCCCACCTCGACCGGCGAAATATATGTCACTCGCCGATTCGGGGGGGGGGCCCTTGCGAGTGGGCAACAGGTTACCCTCGCCCAAATTCCGTGCGCACTTGGATCGGACATGCCGTTTCAGCACGGGCGCGGCACATGGTTCGTTCGCCGACGTATAAGAAAGTCACTGCGGCAGCGGGGCCGCGCGAGAGCGGGCCAAATGCCGACCTTGCCCAAACGCCGCGGGATGTGTGCGTGTGTGTTAGTGGCAACGCTTTGCCAGCACGGCGCATGTTTCGTCTTCGCTGTGCGCATCGGAAGTGTTGTCGTTCCCGCCCTTGCGCGGCCCACGCGAATTTACTCACCAAGTCGTCGGAAGCGGGGTCGCGCGCGAGCGCCATCCATTTGCGAGGTGGGCGCGCGTTCCAATCCCAGTTTCAAGTTGTGCAACACTTGATTACTCTGGTCTGGGAGAGAAGGCGGGGGTCAGCGGTGCCCGGTGACTCGCTCGACGTGGCGAATTTGTTTCTACACTTGCTCCTGCTCTACTCCTACAGTGCGACTCTCTACGATCGTCCTGTCTACTCCGAGCGTTTATGTTCTACTCGAACCATAGCCTCTCCTCTACTCGATTCGACTTTGCTTTGCTCTACTGTACACTGCTCCACTGTAGTATGCCCGAATCCACTCTACCACATACCCGACTCGACTCTGCCCTACGCTAATAAACCACACCCGGCCCGACCGTACTCTACTCCACCGTACCGTCATAGTCTCTACTCGACTTTCCGTTATGATTTGTGGTTCAAGCTCAGCGGGTGCTGAGCTGGATACGGCGGGCCGTTCGGGTAATCTCTTCTCTCGCGATGGGGTCGGCCGACCGCTGGAAGCGGATGGCGGTGCTGCAAGTGGCCAAGGCGGCGTTCGGTGCCACCGTGGCGGCGGTGGCTGGCCAAAGCGGCACCAAGTCCATGGCCGCGGCAGTGGCGACAACCGCGCGCGGCGCCACACGGGGCGCTGCCGCGGCGCAGCAGCAACCGCAACAACCTCAGCAATGGCAGCGGGCGGGGCGAATGGCGAGATCGTGGGGTTCGCCGAAATCATATTGCCATCGCTGGGGGGTCCATCACTCGTGCATTGCCCAAATTCGCGTGTGCGATTTTTTGGGTTGGGCGATCCGGGATGCTCTTCCGTGGCCCACGCCGACATAACAAACATAACGCGCCCGAGCGGCGTCAAGCCGAATAGATAGGGTCGGTGGACCCCACCGCTTCGCCGATACATCGGCGATGCATCGCCGATGCGTCGGCGATGAAACGGCCGCGCGGTGGCGACGGCAAGGATGCATCGGCAGCGTCGGCGTGGAGAAAATCGGACCCGACATCGAGCATCGCCGATGCATGGGCGACGGCGAGGCCGTCGCCACGGTGGGCGAACCCAGACGTCCAACAACAACGATATCACATATAACAACAAGAAACGTTACATTTACAACGACAATTACAACAACAGCACCAACAACAGCAACAACACCAATCAGTTTACCACGATGCGCCATGCTTCCACGCGTTACGTGCATCCCTCTGGCTACCGCACCCCAGCACGGGGGATTTGTTCCTGGCACGCGGAGTTCGATATTCCCTGGCCCAGATCTCTCGCCCATGAAAGTGTCGCCGCAACCTCTTCCGAGGAACTTCGACATCCACAAGTCGGACGGCACACCGCCATCGCGATCGCCTTGCGCACGCTCCGCATCTCGGAGGAGAAGGGTGAAGAATGCGAGGGGGGGGGCGGGGGATGAAGGAGAGGAAGGGGGAGAGGAGGAGGAGGAGGAAGAGAAGGAGGAGGCGGGGGAAAAAGGAGGAATAAGTGTAGCAGCAGTGCCTCCGAAGACGAGGTGGTTGTTTCTCCTCGTTCGAACTGTGACGCCACCATCCTGCGGCCTCGGCGCGTGACCCTGAACGTTCACGCCCCCAGGCGTTGCCGCTCCCATGTTCGCATCCTCCACCTGCCCCTCCACACCATCTCAAGGAACCCCTAAATACAATCCTTCGACCCTCGATCCTTGGAGCCCCTGGCAGTCATCCGTCCCCCTTCTCCTCCTCCACATTATCTATGCTCTCCAAAAGTGATCGTTATTGGTTAGTGGAAGCCCCCCAGGGGCGATGCCGAAACGAGGGCCCAAATCTTGAGTAAACTGTGACGAAGTATCACACGGGAGCGACGAGGGAGGACGGAAGGGGAAGGGAGGAGAGAGGAGGGAGGTGGGAGGGAGGAGGAGGGAGGAGACAAGGGGGACGGAAGGAGAAGAGAGGAGGGAGGAGGAGGGAGGAGGGAGGGAAGAAGGACGGGAGAGGGATGAGGAAGGAGGGAGAAGATGAGGGGGTGGAGGGAGCAAGAAGGAGGAAGAGGGAGGGGGAAGGAGGGAGGAGGAGGGGGAGTTTCCGACTTACGGATAGTACGACTATGTCGGTTACGTATATGCTTATAAGGAAAAAGCCGCTCTTCTGGCCCTCTCAGCTTTACTGTAAGCTTTAGGCCAGATCCCCCGCTCAATATTCCTAAGATAATATACGCGATTACCTGCAGGCCTGCCCTCGCACCTTCTTCCGAGTTGGGCCAGCTGTTGTGCCGCAAAACATCCGCAGGTGCCGCATAACCAGATCCCCAGCCTAGCGTGAAACTGTAGCATATAGCCCTCAGGTCAAAGCTTGGGGTATCCAACCTATTCTTTCGAATAGCTTTGGTCGTCGAGCTCCTACACTTAGGACAGGAAGGCTTGCTATCAGATGCCGTATGCACTGTGGGAAACACCTTGCGCACCACAGGTGCTGGCGGCCTGGGCCCACGGTTCCTAGCTCGGGTGGGGGGAGGAGGGAGGAGGGAGAAGAGGAGAGGTTGGAGGAAGGAAGAGGAAGAGGAAGAGGAAGAGGAAGAGGAAGAGGAAGAGGAAGGGGAAGAGGAGGGAGGGAGGAGGGAAGAGGAGGAGGAGGAGGAGGAGGAGGAGGAGGAGGAGGAGGAGGAGAGGAGGAGGACGAGGACGAGGAGGAGGAGCAGGAGAAGGAGGAGAAAAGGGCGCCTGTCCAGCGTAAATCGGGAGGAAATCTCAGGCGGGAGCGCTGGTTTCGTCGGGACGGGGGCTGTCGGCGGTGAGCAAGAGCACCGCCTTGAGAAAAAAAGGGAGGAAGTCCCGAGCGGTAGCGTTGTTGTTGCTGGGGGGCGGCGCCGATGAGAGAAAGAGTAGCGCGCCTGTCCAAGGTAAAACAGGAGGGGGTCTCGAGCGGGAACGATGGTTTTGTTGAGACAGCTGCTCTCGGCGCGAGCAAGACCACCGGCCCTGAGCAAACAAGGAAGAAGTCTCGAACGGGATCGTTGTTGATGTTGGGGGGCCGGTTTTGGCGGTCCCCCAAACCGCTTGAGAGTGAGCCTCATTTTCAATGAAAATACAGCCGGCGCCTCGGCGGGAGCGCCAGGGTGCCTGTAAGAGGTCCAACAATAAGAATTGTTTAGTAATCAGCATTCAACAACCACAACAACAACAACAACAACAACAACAACAACAACCACAACCACAACCACAACAACAACAACAACAACAACAACAACAACAACGACAACAACAACAACGACAACGACAACAACAACAACAACAACAACAACAACAACAACAACAACAACAACAACAACAACAACAACGCAGTCACGCGCCAGCCTATGGCACGGCGCCTCGGCAAGATAAAACGTGATGGAGGATAAGGGAGGGGAGGAAGAATGACACACGCTACCTAACTGCGGCTGTGTGTGTGTGTCGTATTAACTCGTGCACGCGCTGAGCCCATTGCAGCTTTGGGCGGCCGCGTTTCCGGTGCAAGCGCCTCTGCCTGGGACTCCTCCCTCCGGGCTCTTCCCTCCTCCCTCCTCCCTTCCTCTCTCCCTCCTCCCTCCCTCCTCCCTCCTCCCTCCTCCTGCGACTCTGTGCTTCGTCCCGATTCGTGGGCCCGGCGTGAGCCCCCGGAGGCCGAGAACGGCCAAACAATGCCTTGGATGCTCATTTTGGGGACCTTCCTGAAGACACTCGTTTCACTCGAAGCTGCGTCGAACGGCCGTCGATTTGAGTCGACCCTGTGTCGAACCTGAGTCGAACCCGCGCCGAACCTGAGTCGAACCTGAGCCGAACCTGAGCCGAACCTGAGTCGAACTTGAGCCATCCTGGGGTCGAACTAATGCGAACAGATCCGTCAGGTGGGCCCCAGGAAGGTCCCCCAAACGAGCATCTAAACTGCCTGCTTCAAGTGAGCGTCTTTTTACTCGGCGTTTCGACAGTGGGCGAAAGGGGGGGGAAGGGGGGGGCGGGTCTGGCTCCAGACCTCTGCACAGTGCGACTGTTTGCACGGGTGCGTCCACTATGGGGGAGACTCCACCTGAATGAAGCCGGCGCCAAGAAGAGGCAAGACCTGGTACCCGCCGAACTAGCAAGGACAACAGGGCGGCGAACCAGGGTGTGAAACGCTCTGTTGAGAAGCGGGGGGGGCTCCGCGTCGCAACCTTGTACACTGCAGCGCGTGAGCCGAGAAGAGAAGGAAAACAACCTTCCTGCCAATTTTCCTCGCGCCCCGCGGGGAGGCCTCGACGGACATCCGCTCGAGCATCCACTGGTTGTTCTCGCGCTCCAGGTCCTCCCAGCGAGGCCAGGCGCAACTCCTGATCCTCGTACTCCTCCCCCTCCTCCACCCTCCTACACCCTGGGTCTCCTCCTGCTCCTCCGTCCTCCTCATATGCCCCCTTCGTCCCTTCCCCCCTCCCTCCCCCCCCGCTCTTGGGGAAAAGACGAGGTCGGAGCTATGCTCAGGCCTCCGACGACTTGCCAATCCGACGCTTTTGAGGGCCGTGCACGAGCCCCTGGGGCCGCCCACGAGGACGATATCCGGCCCAGGCGGCGAGAGAGCGAGACCCCTGGGGCCGCCAATCAGGGCAACACATACGACGGCGGCGACGACGACGACGAAGACGATGAGGACGAGGACGAGGACGACGACGAGGACGAAAACGACGAAAACGGCGCGGGCGGCTGATGCTACACGGGCAGCTGCGAGTGCGCGGACCCCCTCGCCAGGAGCAAGAAGCAGGGAGGCGCGTGGACAAGGAAAGAGGAACATGATGGAGGTCCCCCAGGAGGCTTGGCGGCGGCTGATGCAGGGAGTATCGCACAGTTTCGTGACGCCTTCGGAGGGCAGGGCACAAGAGGTGGCGGATGAGGGCATCCCCTGTCTCCTCATAATTACGCCTCCCGCCTCCGCCTCCGCCTCCTCCTCCTCCTCCTCCTCCTCCTCCTCTTCCTCCTGTTTCAGTCCTCTCTCCTCATTCTTCCCTCTCCCTGCTCCCTCCTCCTCCTCCTCATCATCATCATCATCCTCCTTCTCCTCCTCCTCTTTCTCCTCCATGGGGGCGGGGCGCACGACCGGGGGGGGCCGAGTTTGGGGTCAGCCGTCGCTCGGAAAGAGGCGGGCAGAGACGTGAAAGGGAGAGGGCGTTGCGGGTAAACCAGGCTGCCCCCCCCTCCCCGCTCCCGAGCCGAAGGGCAAAGGGGAGCGCCGCTCGACCTCCAAGGGAGGACGGCGCCTATAATAATGACAGTGGATCGGGGTCTGGGAGCCGTCGAGAGCCTGGGCCTGACACGGACCCTGAGAGGAGGGCGCCTATAATTACAGCGGATCGGGGTCCGGGAGCCGTCGAGAGCTGGGCCTGACACTGACCCTGAGAGGAAGGCGCTCTCACAGTGGATCGGGGTCTGAAGGCCGTCGAGAGCCCGGGTCTCACGCTGAACCTGCGAGCGTGGCTGCGGCTGCAGCGGGCTGCGCGGGCGGTGCGGACCGCCGTGCCGTCGGTGCGCGAGCCCGCCCCGATCTCCGCACCGATCGCCCAGCCACGCGCCCGACCAGCTCCTGCTGCCGGACCGCGCGCCGGTGGCCCCGGAGCCCGAGAGCGGCCTCGGGACATCGCAGCGGCGAGAAAGCCCCATCTGGCTGTGCGAGGCGCGAATCTATCCATAGCCACCGCCTGGGAAGCGACGTCCTGGTGCCCCAGCGGGCGGTGGACATGGACATGGACATGGACATGGACATGGACATGGACATGGACATGGATATATATATATATATATATATATATATGTATATATATATATATATATTCTGGCCCCCGGGGGCCCGAATATAAACCCATGTCCACCGCCTGCGAGGTCCACGGAAATAGATCCTCCAGGCGGTGGTCATGTGTAAACTCCCGCCTCGGAGGCCGCGCGACGGTTTCAAGCGTCGGAGGCCTGGGGTTCAGCACGCGCCTTAAGGTGAGGGCCAACGACCGGGGGGGAGCTGGCGCACGGGGGCGAAGAGCGCCGGGGCGGAATCGGCGAGACCTCACCGAGAGAGGTCGGCGACAGGGCCCCCCCCCCAGATAGCGAAGCCGCACGTTCCCTGGCGGGGGGTGGTCGGGCCCCCGTCGGCGGCGAATCCTCCCCGGAGCCTACCACCCCCCCCCTGACGTTGCCCATTGGCCTTCGGGTCAGAGCTCGGCTTCCGGGCGGCGGTTCGGGGGGACGATCCTGGGCCCCGCTGGAACGCCCTCGACGAGGCGCAGCTGCCGAAGGCGTCTCGCGAGGCTCGAAGAGCGCCGAGGGCCGACGGGAACGCCAGAGAGCCTCGAACCTCGAACCTGTCGCCCCCCGCGGAGTCAAAGATCGATCCCTGGACCTCTCCTGGGGTGCGTTCTGCCCAGAATTTCGAGGCGTATCCAGCCGTGGCCACGAGGGCGCAAGCCTCGAACCTAGAATTCTGTCGTCCCCCAGACGCCCAAAATCGATCCGTGGACCTCTCTTAGGGTGCTTTCTGCCCGGAATGTCGAAGCGGATCCAGACGTGGCCGCGAGAGCGCCCAAGGATAAAACCTTCAGAGGGCAACCTCGATCCTCGAGTCTCGCACCCTACCCCCCCCATCCGACGCTGTCACTGAAGCCAACACGCGCTCAAAGAGGGATCCCGTCCTTGACCCGGGTGCGCGAGCGACTCGGCGTGTGAGCACACGGGTGGTTAGCGAAGCAGCGCTCGTGTGGCTGCCTTCCCCGGCGCCTTCCGGCGACAGAGGCGCCGATGCATCGAGGCACGTGCCCGCTATAGAGGGGGACGCGGCACGCAGCCAATTTCGCGCAACCACCCCTCTGCCTACCCAGACATGCGACGTCCTGATTTTCTCAGGACGGCGTCCCTGGAAGTCCCTGCCCTTTCCAGAGGCCGGCGTCTCATCACCTTTCCGAGGTGAGTGCCAAAGGAAAACAATCGATCACCTCGGTGAGGGAGGCAGGGGACCACCTGAGTCGTTTCTTGACGGTGTCGAAGCCCTGCGGGGGCCCCCCGAGGCTAAAAACGGCCCAACCCCCCCCGTCCTGATTCTTAACGGCGCAATCCTGTCTGGGTAGATCTCCCCCCTTCCGGCCCGGCAGGCCCGTCCTTCACCCGGTGCGCGAGCGCCTCGGCGTCCTCCGGCCTATCGGGGTCCCCCGGCGCGGCATCGGGCCTCGCCGGCGGCGCCGCGGGCGACGACCGACGACAACGACGCCGACGCCGACGCCGACGCCGACGCCGACGCCGACGCCGACGCCGACGCCGACGCCGACGCCGACGACGACGACGACGACGACGACGACGACGACGACGACGACGGCGACGACGACGACGACGACGACGGCGACGACGACGACGGCGGCGGCGACGACGACGAGGACGACGGCTCAGACTGGGTCGAGAAGACATCACGGCGGATTATGCCTTGCTAGCTGCGGCCGCCCATTGTCGGACTCCGGGACCGGGGCGGTCAAAGAGCGCCTCGGGCTGAGAAGCTGATCCCTGGAAAGGGGTCGAGATCTCTGGGGCCCCAACCTGGCGCAAAACAAAATATGCCGTCGGGGGTCTGGGGACGGCGCTGATGGCGGGCATGGCGGCGCCGACAACGACGTCGACGACGACGGCGACGACGACGGCGACGACAACGTCGTCGGAAGTCGAGGTCGTCAGCCTCTGGTTCGTGCACCGAGGGCACCCTCGTGACCACGGCTGGAAAAACTGTGCAGGATGGCGTGCGGGAGGGGTCCGGGAACTTGTTTTGAACGGTCATGGAGGACAACGACCACGGCGGTGCTAGTTTGTCTGACGCCGGCGTCGGCGGCGAGAAAAGGAGAGAGACATAAACGAGAAGGATGAGGGCGAATACAGTGCACACGTACGGCAAGGAATCTTTTTCTAAGAAATAAGGGCATCGTTCACTTCTAATCATGCTCATTTCTCATTGTGCTCCCCAGTGGTCAGGAAGAGGCCCAGGATAGAACAACTAGAAATGAAAGGATCTTGGCCCCCCAAAACATCAAAGAACTTTCGAATATTTAGAAATGAACCATGTGCACCTTTTCGTCGGCTTCGGAGAACCCTGAGGTGGACCAGGAGTTCTGTGGGCCCTGATAGTCATCGGGGAGAAGACTTCTACAAAACACCTGCGGGCAGGCCGCTCTCTTATTCGACGTGCCTGCGCCAGGAGGAGGAGGATGAGGAGGGGGATGGATTCGATTCGGTCCAGCACCGCCAGGACAACCTCCACGAGGACACGGCAAGCGCGCGGCCTGTGGCATTCTGAGACGGTGGGAGGGTGCAAGGGGAAAAGAGGGCGAGGAGCAAGGGGGGAGCTCTGCCTGGAGTGAAGTCGTGTCGGGGGAGCTCTATGAAGGTGAGAGGTGGACGCGGAGAGACTAGAGAGGGCCTGGGGGGCGCATGGATTTGCACGGAATCCTTTACGTTCTAGAAATGGCATCGGAGAAGGAGGGAGAGGAGAAGGAGGAGGAATGCAGAAGGAGTGGCTCTGGTGCTCTCTTGTGGGTACCACAGCAAACAGGAGGCTGCGCATGCCCGTGGGCAGCTGGCGGCGTGACAGGAGCTGCAGAGCTCGCGCGGAGGAGCCGCACGCCTTACGGAGAAAGAGGAGGGAGGAGGAACGGAGGGCCCGAAGGAGGGGAGGAGGAGGAGGAGGAGGAGGAGGAGGAGGAGGAGGAGGAGCAGGAGGAGGAGGAGGAGGAGAAGGAGGAGGAGGAGGAGGAGGAGGAGGAGGAGGAGGAGGAGGGGAGGGAGGGGGAGGGGAGGGAGGGAGGAGGGAGGAGAGGGGAGGAGGGAGGGAGGAGGAGGAGGAGGGAGGGAGGGAGGGAGGGAGGGAGGGAGGAGCCAGCGGGGCGCCCGCGAGGCGATGCCCACGGGGGCGCCCAGTAGGCGCCCGCAGCGCGGCGGGAGCCCCCAAGGAGCAGCCAGCCGCCCGCGCGGGCGGGCAGGACGAGGCAGCACCCCGGAAGGCGTGCGCGGAGTGGGGGGGGGGGGGGGCCGGCGGCGCAGAGGCTGTGCACTCGCCATCGCTGGGACGTCCATTCCCTGCGTTTTTGTTCGGTGTCGTGCGTGGCTGTTTCGCCAAATGATCAAGGATGCTCCTCGCTGGTCCTCGCCGGAAGAAAAATGCACACGTCCGAGCGATGCTCAGGTGCGGTGCGGCGTGGGCCGTGCTGCGCAGGCGAGCAAGAGGAGGCGGAAGCCGCGGCATGCAGACGCCGTGCGGGGGGGGGGGGGGGCCAGGCGGCGCAGAAGCTAGGCAGTGCGGCGCGGGCCGTTCTGCGCGGGCTACGTTGCCCCCTGTCCAGGGCACGGGGCGCCACGCGAGGCGCCACACGAGGCGCCCACGGGGCGGGCGGAACGGGGCGCCCACGAGGCGAGGAACCGCGGCTTACAGTGGAGGCCCGTCCACAAGATACCTTCCACGAGGTACCCAACCCTGAGACCCCAGGACGTCCATTGATTTCTTGGTGTGGGCACGTCGCGCTGTCCACCGCAGAGCCATCGAAACCCAAGACACCCCAGGGCACCCTGGAGGCGGGCAGGGTGCTTCTTGGCATGGGCCCCCACTGCGCCCACCCAGAGGTACGGGGCGCCGACGAGGCGGCAGCTCGGCGGACCCGCCCAGGGGCACGGGGCGCAGGCAAGGGCCCGCGAGGCGCCCACGGGGGCGCCCCCGTGGCGAAAAGCATCGGCGGCTCGACCCCGAAGACGGGGCGCCCACGTGGCGCCCACGGGGAAAATCCTCGCCGGACCCGTCCAGTTCACCTTGAGAAAGTGCAAGCACTGCTTGGAGCGTGAAGGGACGTCGAGGCGGAAGAGGTATAGAGAGAGAGAGATAGAGAGAGGGAGAACTACAAGAGAACAAGAGAAAGAGAGAGAGAGAGAGAACAAAAAAAAAGGCCGATCAACAACCACGCAAAACACCCTCGAACTTCACGGTCTCCCCTCCAGTCCTCCTCCTCCTCCTCCTCCTCCTCCTCCTCCTCATTATCCCCTTCCCCCGCTGACGCCGCCCAGTTTCGATTCCTGCCTAGGCCTGACAATGCACGCGCGAGACCTTGGACCCCTTGATCCAAATCCACTCAACGCTGAATTCGTGACTCCCTCCCAGAGGACGTTAGAGGGGGACCATCTCAAGCGGGAAGCCATCTGCCTGGAATCGGCTATACATCACCGACAGATCTGCGATAGGCCCCTCGATAGCAACTCCGCCCGTTCCTGGGCGGGGTCGGGCTATCGAGCCACTGTCGGCGATCAATGGGCGACTGGGAGCCGATGCGTTCCCCCCTGAGCCTGAACCCCCTAACGTTATCCAGGGCTCCTCCTGGCGAACTTTCCCAGACGTGACCTCGGAACCCCAAAAAACCTCACCGCACGATCCGTCACCGCACGGTCTTGGGACCCTGGAGGCCCCTGTCGCCCAAACATCCTCGAAGAGGATCTCGAGTCCCAAAACCGTGCAGTGACCCCGAATCCCCACCGATTCACCCACCACTCGGTGTGGTCACCACCCCGTTTGGGGACCCCCGAGACACGCCCAAGAAACACCCAGAACGACTGCGTCGATGCGATCATCGCCCTCCGGATCCGACATCGTGATCAAGCTTGCACGCAGGACGGGCAGAAAAGCCCAACACTTCTGCTGCCCCGCCTGGGCACGCCACCCACACGTCCAGACAACATCCGACGCCTACACATTTTCAAGACGAGAGATCCCAGGAAGACCGCCACATTTTCACATGGGATTTGCCACATTTCTGAAATTCGGCGGCACCCCTCACGCAGATCGGCGGGGTCAGGGTCCAAAACACACGAGATTTGCCATATTTCTGAAATTCGGTGGCACCCCTCACGCAGATCGGCGGGGTCAGGGTCCAAAAACACACGGGATGTGCC